TTCATATATTTCTGAACAAACAAGTATGTCGTCAACATAAACAATAAGAAAATTATAAGTTTTAAAAAACTTCATCCATTATTAGGGCTTGAAATAATAGATTTTATTAGATTTTTCCTACTTAGAACAGGATTTTTGATACCTTTTATAAAGGGAGCTTATATATTGTAATTCTAACCATTTTTATATGAATAGAAATTGGTATACCCCTCCTAAATTCTGTGTTCCTCTCTCTTCCCTTTTCTTTCTCAATCTAATTCTCGTTTGATTGTGTGAGATGTACTATAGTTTCAACATAAGTAATTTTTTTTTAAATTTAATAGTGAAGAAAAGAGTAACTTATCCAAACATGTTTAAAAACAAAAAAGTTTTTAAGAAACAATCTGGAAGGGTATCTAGTGATCATAATATTTAAGTAAGGCCAACTGGAACCCAAGACCAATTTAGAAATAATAATAATAAAGTTGGTGTTGAAATCGCGAATGATTACATTAGGGGCTTAATTGATTGAAGATGATTGACAGAGATTCTCCTTACCTTAAATAGAATTGTAATTATATTGATTGATTTATTGTCTTATTTAGGAGACTAGTATTTTTGCTTTTTTAGTTCTTTCATTGTATTATAAATAGGACCATTATGTTGTACAATGGAGAATCACAAATACAGAAAACTAATTCTAATTTCATGGTATCAAAGCTAGGTTCTTCAAAACCTAGCAACCAATGACCGAAATCCCAATCAACAGTAAGGGTCAATGACCTGTGAAGCTCCAAATTCTAAAACATAGGCCACCACCATAATAGGTTCAAGTGGCCCTGACACCTCCTCCTTCCAACTCACAATAGAGAAACTAAATGGAAGGAACTTTCAAGAATGGACCCAATCAATAAAACTTGTGATCGACGGAAAATGGAAGTGTTAGAATTTGGGTGTGACCTGAATTCCTTATTGAAATAATTGAAGAATTCTAATTGAAGTACACGTCAAGAAGAATTCAGTTTAAAAATACTATTGGAGTTCTATGAGTTGAAAATTGGTATTGGACTTAAAAAAGAGTTCATAATGGCGAAAACAATTTGGAACCAAAAAAATCACTTTGGCAGAACGCCCGACTCTGGAGATGGCGCCACGTTGTTCTAGTTTTTCGTGTTTTTATCTCCTTTTTCGCTTTGAACTCGATTTTTTGGTATCACACTTCATCAACAACTCTACTAGGAGGGTTTGAACGTCCCTATATGCTCCCTATAAATATTTGGCTCTTCTATACAATTTTATAATGTGAAAAAAAAAAGATTACTAGAACTTTAGGATCAATTGTATATTTCTTCATTATTGTTGGTGTAATAAAATCTCATAATTTATCTGTCATTTTTTCTTGTCTTCTTTTATTCTTTTACTTGTGATCAAATATTTTATTATTGTGTCATATAACTTCAACATCTTAATCCGGTGGTTGGTTTCATATCAAGTGGAATCAAAAGATATGTGATCCTTAAATTCCCAACAAGGGCATAATTAACACAAGTGGTATTAGAGCGTCTAGGTTCAATAGTTCCGCAAGAGCGCAGGGTTTGATTTATTCGAAGTTTTTATCCGTGATGACTTCAATGAAGTATGACATTCCGCTTTTGGATCGGAGCACAAGATTTTCGCTATGACAGGTTAAGATGCGTGCAATACTCGCACATCAGGATTTGGATGATGCGTTGCTGAAAATTGACAAGATGTCCACAACTTTGACAGTGGATGAGAAATTACGGAAGGAAAAGAAGGCAGTTTCTCACATTCATCTTCATCTATCGAATACCTTATTCAGGACGTTTTGAAGGAGGGTTCAGCATCTATTTTATGGTTGAAGTTGGAACAATTGTACATAACTAAAAGTTTGGCAAGCAAGTTGCATTTCAAACAATGTTTATACTTTCATCGAATGGCAGAAGGAAGATCATT